AGATTATCTGTCTCATGTCATACTGTCAGGATATAGTTTCAGCAAATATAAGCATATATATATATATATATATATACATATACATATTGATTTTTTAACTCTGTCTGGTTGTACAAACACCTGACAAATGCTCTATTGAGTCAGGACAGTCTTTTAATGCCAAACTGCTCCAGTGTGAGTTTTAAAAGTTCAACGTACATAAAGACTGACTAATTCTAAACAAAATAAACATTAACACCTCTACCCCCATCCTGTCTCAGATCTCCAAGCTGTGTTTCCATGGCAATGCTGGCACAACTGTTGACTGCTTTCTCACCCACTGTTTATCAACTCAAACTGAGGTGACTACCAAATACTGTACCATCACCATTGCTGGTACCATCATGCTCTTTCTTCTGCTTTCTCCTTTTCTTTTTGCTCTATTAGGAGTCACATGCTGAGACTATTTCTTGGCAGTGTGATTCTGTGCAGCTTCCAGGTGTCACAGTTTGGTTGCTATCATAGTTTGGTATCAATATGCCTGTACGGAGACCTATAGTAATACCTGTGCTCACTGACTGTCTCTGACAACCAGTACTACAGTTTGTTGTTTGTTAAGAAAGAGTACTAGCACAGAACTCCCCCTAAAACCACAGACTGTCGCTCTTACATTGTCGCTTCAGACCTGCTTCTAGTCTTTATGCTAAGCTAGGCTAATCACTTCCCAGGTCCAGCTCTGTGGAGATACACTTGCACAACCGTGCACAACCAGCGGTCCAAAACGACCCAATGTAGGATATGCAAGGCAGACATCATGTGCATGCAAACGCGTTAGGGCTGCCAATTAATCAAAATATTATCAAAACGCAATATGGCCAAGTGCAATGTGCAAAGATCAGAAGCTATTTTTTAAAAAAAAGGTAAAATATATGACAAAACAGCCTAATAATGAAGTACTGTAGTTCTGACGAGGAGCTGCCCCAGCTTACAATTTTTTTTTTACTTTGGTAAAGACCCCACCAAATTGTCACCAATCATTATGACTTTGAATTTAATCATGATGCAATAATGTTCATTCCCAGACTTATTGTAAATCATATCACAATCGCAATATCGGTCAAAATAATCGCAATATGATGTTTTTACTACATCATGCAATCCTGGAATGTGTAGTTAATAGCAGTATATCTTCAGCTTTAACCTTCTTTCCATGTCACTGACGAAAAGAAAGTGAATAAACACAATTCTAAAAATACTGAACTATTCCTTTAAAGTCATCACCAGTAGGTAGCCTGACTGAGAGGAAGTGACAATGGGACCAAGAACAGGAAACAGCAGACATGTTTCAGGTGAGGTAGGGGAGGTTTATGTTACTGACTCAGTAACGCCCGGTTCACAGAAGTGTCTAGTGTTTGAAAAGGGTCCTCCAGGTCCACACTTGTCTATTGCAGTGTTTTTGAACCATTTTACCTCTGCTCACTATCTTACCTTCATGTTTTATCTCGTAACTTTAGCCACCATAAACTACTTGTCATACCAGACCAAGTACGACTGTACCAGCAGTACCCGTGCATTCTAATGCTTATGAAGTCTTACTTTCTAAAAGGGAGGGGTTTGTTATTTTGTCTTTCAAAAGTTACATAGACCCACTTGTTCCCAGATCACTCAGGTCTTATGACAGTTAAGGATAAGACTGCTTAATTGATGAACCTAGCTGTCTGTGTGGAATATGAGCTTTTAATAGATCTAAGCTACAGTCAAAAGTGTACAACCAGCCTCTGATGATGCAAGCTCCGGTCAATCAGAGGCAAGAAAGACTAATTTTAGCTACAAGATGTGTAATAATTCTCTTTATGATACTTTCTTGCTGTGACATTTGACTTCATCATCAGGTGTAAGACTTTGGAGGGTGTACAGTTAGTGGTCACAATCATAAATATAAGTAATAATAAGTATTGTTTTAGGTGTACTGATAAATTCAACACTAATCAATCAATCAAATAACTCACTGGCTCCTCCGCTGTGTTAAGGGGTACTTACAGAACTAGGGCTGGAGTGCCGACGCAGTTTGGGCGACTCCTTGCCAGCGGACGAGCTCTTGGCGTTGATGCAGGCATTGTTCTCAGAGTGGACCCTCTTCACCTGGCTGGCGGGCTTCTCAAACGGGTCGAAGCCGCTCTGCGTGCGCTGCACTCTCACCTTCTTGTCCTCAGGGATGGTGTCCAGGGGCTTGATGACCGAGTCTGTTCCCTGGCAGCTGCGTGTGGACATCTTTGTGACACATATCTGTCAAAGAGAAGGGGAAGAAAGGAGCAAGATAAAAGTGAGCATTAAAGAAAAAAAAAAATTCCATCTGCGATTACCAGCGTTCAGCCAAAACCTGACTATGCCCCCGCCTTCCAGATCCCGCCTGTTTTTCATCTCCCTGTCAGCCTGGGTCTCTTCCCTCCCCGTAGAGCCTTGCTGCTACCTCTCTGCTAGGATGAGAGCCTTTTTATCTCCATCTCTCTTTTCTCTGATCAAAACAGCTCCAGCCTCCATCGGCTCAGCTGCACGCGCACACACACACACACAGCCGGCTTCTGCCGTCGCTTTTCGCGTATTGTACATTCACACATTTTCACTTTATCTCTGACACACATCTACACATCCATACAATTGTGCAGACATGCTACAGATTGTCTCCTACAAGCCCATCGGGCAGACGCACGGCCCTCCATGCTCCCCATCCATTTTCCAACACAAAGCACCTTACCAGCTGCTCCTCCAACACGGACTGTGTGCATCGGACACAAAAGACGCAGGCGGCATGACATGTTTTGCCACGGCTCCCTTCAGATTAAATATTTAGGCCTGGGCTCCCCTGCAGGAAGAACTTCTAATTACTCTAATACACAGGCAGGAGTCATCTTGCAGCTCCTTGGCTTGTTGTCTAACATGGGCCAGGTTTCATTGGACACACCAGAGCATTTCCCACTACACACGCTCCCCTTCTCTTTGATGCTAATACGGAAACTTATTTATAGAACAGTTGATGGCAGTTGTAGTGATGATGATAAAATTTTTCTTATTGTATCATGCATACAAACATACCTATCCCACAAATGACTGCAAACCAGATCGAGAATGCAACACAGGTCCTAACAGTCTAAAGGTCCAGTGTGTAACATTGAGGAGGATCTATTGTCAGAAATGGAATATAATAATCATAGGTATGGTTTCATAAGTGGGGTTTCATAAGTGGATAATCACCTGAATATAGGAAATGTTTCTGTTTTATCTATAGACGCCATGTTGTACCGCCATGTTTCTACAGTAGCCAAAAAAGGGACAAATCGAACACTGGCTGTAGATATGGCCTTTCACAGCCACCGTAGTTTCTCTTACACACATCACAATCCGTTCTCATTCCCAGGTTGTAAATTACAGACACCAGTGTGGTTCAGTTAGTCGCAAATTCGCTGCTAGATGCCACTAAATTCTAAACAAAATTGCGATTTAAATTGTGATTATTTTCTACAAATGAAACTAGAGGCCTGTATGTTTTCTACATAGCATTAAATCTATGACACATGTAGGGTTGCAATGGTATGAGATTTGCATTTTACATTGACTGTCAGAAAACGGTTTCACGATATAACGATATGACACAATCAGTTACAATGACCTCTGAAATAAAAACAATATTTTTAATTAGAATTTCATAAAATATAATGTCCCATACATTTTGCAATAACACTAAGATGGTAGCCGAGTTATTATAGTTTTAGTATTTTTCATTAGTATTTATTTAGGTTTTCTTTCATTTTTGTTTTCGGTTAAGCTTGGATTCAGTTAGTTGCCACAGTGGGTTAGCTAGTTTTGGTTTAGTTTTCCTTGTTTAAAAATTTAATAATGTTATAGTTTTAGTTTGTTATTGTAATATGCGGCGTATTCATCGGAATATTTATTACAATACAAACACATTAACTCACAGTCTCAAACATATGCAACAATGCCTACTACTACTGCTTGTTGACAAATTTGACCAAATTGACAAATTAGACAATTCCTGTATTTCTTTTTATTTTAGTTAGTTTTCTTAGTACACAATATGGTTTTAGTTTGTTTTTGTGTTTTTCTAAAGTGTAGTTTTTATTTTTATTTCAGTTAACTAAAATGTTTTTTCACACCTAGTTTTAGTTTTTAGTTTAGTTTTAGTTAACTATAATAACCTTGTACTGTATCATTCATTTATTTTATTTAAAAAACACTAATACATTAAAATATATGTATTGTATTGTACAAAGCATATTCAGCATAAAACTTTACCAATTTAGCTCACATTTGTTAAAATAGCTTGATAATATTAAAAAAAAACTAATTTAGTATTACATTTACTTACATTTAAAAGAAGTATTCTTTGGTTACAACAGCTGCAACGCTGCCTACTTATGGTGATAATGACAAACACAGTTGCAGATTAGCTGCTTAAGCTAACGTTAGCCTTACAGGACAAACCGTTAATTAGCTACAGTCAAATGAATCAGTCAGCTCAATTTGCCAGAAGTCAGTAAAATCAGCAGTCACCAGATTAAAGGTCCAGTGTGAAAGATTTAGTGGAGTTTTGCGGTGTAGTTACAGATCGCAACTTACTCGCTTCACCCTCCCTTTTCCAAGTACGAGGGAGAAACTACAGTGAGTGTGAAATGCACAAAAAACGTAAATGCCCCTATCTAGAGCCAGCGTTTGGTTTGTCCGTTCTGGGCTACTATAGGAACATGGTGATTCAACATGGCGGCCTGCACAGAAGGTGACCCATGGCGTCTGTAGATAAAAACTGCTCATTCTAAGGTAAAGAAAACATGATTGTCATTTTTAAGTGATTATACACAGATAAAAACATACCTAAGAATAATATATTCAATTTCTGACAATAGATTCCCCTAATTGTTACACAATGGACCTTCAAACTCTACCCACCCTAAATGTGCTACAGCTTGGCTTGGCTTTTGTGAGTTGAGAATTGCTCTTTTTTAAATGCAGTTTGAACATAGAATTGATCAGACTTCAACTCCAAAATTCAATATTACAATTTACATGACTTAATTATCATATTTACAGACCATAATTTTTACAGCAATTTAAGTGTCTAATGTGCAACCTATAAAATAATCCGATATAGAAACTAAATGAAATAGTCCATCAAGGCTCTAAAGCCTAGCAATGTTTTATTTTGTATTCAACTGTACATCATTTCAAGCAAGAAATAAGATGGAAGTATTCCAACAGGAGGAGTAACTGAACAAGAAGCAAAAAAGCATGTAAAATGGGCCAGAAAATACACAAGAGGAATATGCAGGAGAAGCAAACAGAAATGAGGAGTTTGGTAATGAGGCAGCCACGCTGTCATAAACATGAGTCCCACATATACGTTCCTCAGTGACAGCAGTTGTCATCTGGAACGGCACACAAACCAACAAAAACAAATACTGTCATTTAGGACCTATCACACTACAAGGCATCAATAGTTGATGAGCGTGTCTGGGACGGATGTGTGCAACAAGGCTTATGTTCCAAGCACTCCACATCGGAGAATCATCGGAGCCAAAGGGACATATACATGACAGAATGATAAAACGATCACCAAAGTTCTTCAGAACTACAAATAGAGTTTTCAACCTGATGAAGAGGGACAAGTTTCTGAAATCCTGCATTAAAAATTAACCAATGACAACTCTCGAACCCAATATACTGTGTTTTGTTTCAAGTAACCACGACCGCATATAGTCAACAATAAGGCCGGAATGTAACTAATTAACCACAGTTTTAAGTTTCTTACACTTTGGACATTTCCATTTTACTTGACTATACAGTTTACTTCACTACATTTATTTGACTAGTTATTTTACATAGTAATTTTTAACGCACAAACATTATCGAACTGCTCAAAAACTTCCATTATAAATAATAGTTAGAATTAGCTCCACCTTGACCAGCTACAACATTGTATTATTGGATTATCGTCTTTGTGCGCAAGCACCGACTGTGCATGCAGCCTGTTGCAGTTGCTAATGTGCAATACTCAATACTCTGGTTTATTCTGTCACAAATACTGCAATTTTTTTAGGCATCAGCTATTATTATTATTCATTTTTTCATTACACTTCTTGTCCATCATATACTGTAGCATACATGTATTTCTATCTTCTATATATTGTCATATATATTGTATAATGTACAAATTTAGACTCTTACCAGATTTATTTATATTTTTTATATATTTTATATTTTCTATATATACTGTTGTTAGATATTGAAATATAATAAATATTTTTAACATTCTTCTCTTTTCTTGAATGTCTTGTGAGCACTTTGAGTAACTGTAACAAAACAAAATTTCCCCTGGGGATCAATAAAGTATTTCTGATTCTGATATATGTATTAATACATCTTAATGCATATAATAATCCAATAATTTTCAATAATGAGCACTTAAATCAAGTACATTTTACTGATATTACTTCTGTATTTTGCTTATAAGTATGATTTTGAATGCAGGACTTTTACTTGTAATAAAGTATTTTTAGAATGTGCTATTGCTACTTATGTACAAGATCTGAATACTTCTTCCACCACCGGACAACACATGATAGTCATGTGTTAGCTGTAACTTAGCGTAATGGCATTCATGGACATCCTGCTTTAAGTGTGTGTTAGGTTTCCTAGAAAGTGCAAAAGTATCCTTCATAGTCATGCTCATAGGTAAACTGCTATACTACACCTCTACCTCACTAAACCAGACACTCTTCCTGCTGCTTCTGGCATGAATGATCATCCGTCTTTGAGGTGTTTCTTTTGTGAATGACAGTAACAGCTTGTTTTGGTCTTGTGTTGGGACATTAACAGCTTCTGTGCTGAGTATTTTAAAATGATCCCATTAGCTACAATATTGCTACAGTGTGATAAAACACACCTGTGTTTGGTTACAGTTTGCAGTTTGCGGGCTTATGGAGGGCATCTCCCCAATACATTCACTGCCACAATGAACCTAACTGTACATGAATCAGGATTGAAATGACTGCATATCTCAACATCTTCTACATGGATTGGCACGAGCTTTTGTACAGACATTGGTTCCCAGAAGATGAATCCCAATGACATTGGTGAACTCTTGACTTTTCCTTTGTGGCTTTGAGTGAAATATCTCAAATGTTTCATTAGCACGACACCCAAATAATCCTATAATATAATGTGAGTCATAGGATAGCCGGCCAAAGAGCAGTTGGAGATCCCCTAGGAGAAGC